ACCTCAAACTATTTTTTTGTTAAAAACTAGGTCTTTCTGTTGATTTTGATTGCAGATCATGGTTTTGAAACATAACATGGTTCATGAAAACACGTGATTTGAAAAAAAAAATTAACGTAGGGATGAAAACCTGGATGAAAATGCCTGTTTTTAACAAAAAAAGAAAGTTCATTTTACTCAAATAAAAAAATAAAAATAAATAAAACTCAGCGGCTAAGTTTAGTTTGATCAAAGTTCAGTGTAATTTCAGATAATTTAGTCTTAATAATAACGTCAGGGTCATAATGTTTTGTGAGAATAAACACTCTTCATTGAATGTTGAGCATTTGATATTGTTAGTAAAATACATGAGAGCAGAGAACAAGTGTGACCACATCTGTCATGGAATATCCAAAGTTTCCCCATAATGCACTTTGGAGACAGTTGGAAGTGTCTCCAAAACACCATCCATTTCATAAAAAAATAAATCAAATGGTGAAAGTGGGAAAAAGTGGCAGTTCCAAGAAATATATTGAAAAACAAAACATGTCAAACCATCAAGTCATACTAAAAGAAATTAATAGCAGCTCTTTTGGTGCACACCTGAAAGCCGTGGCAAGGACATGCTGTTCCAAGAAGCATCTGTTAGCTGGTTGCCCTTGACAGAAACACGATAGCCTTGACCCTGAACAATATCAAGTTTGTCAGTGCTTGGAAGGATGCTTGACGTTTACACTTGCGAAGATCATGAAAAACATTCAGACAATGATCAGTCCCAACAAGTAGTGGAATCACATGGTTACTCAAGGACAACGTAGAAACTGCATCAAGAGAAAAGGAATCCTATCACTAGCTCTCACTTACAGAGATAAAACACAACAGCTGCATGCAAGAAAGCTATGTATCACCAATGATCTATAGAAAGGCAACTAAATCATTTCAAGAATTATCCATTCCAGCTTTCAGGAAAATCAGTGTAAAGAGTAGGACGCAGTTGCATCCTGATCAAAATTTGAGTGAAATGGTAGTAACTTAGGATAATTGTTCACTCTTCCCCGTGATTCAGTAACAAGTTCCCACCAACTCCAAACACCAAATTACATCACAATTGAACTCATGAAAAAAAAATCGTGTTGAGATTTAAAGAGTAGGAATACAGAGTAAAGAGTGCCATTTAAGAAAAATTCACGCCCTTGCATAAAAATTGACTTTCAAGAAGAAAGTAACAAGCAATAAAGAGTGCCATTTAATGAATCTAGGCAATCTGGAAAAACTTCTAGTTCATAGCAAACAACAGATGATATCAGTTTCAATAGAAAAGAACAAATTTACACAAATCAGGTGAAAAAGATCATGAATTCTAAGAAAAAAGCGTGCACATATAATTTAATATAAAATTTCTCTGAAAAGAGTAACCATATCAAAAGGTAGGGATACAAAATGATATTTTTTTACCTTATTGAGTTCATTCATGCAACTAGAGAAGAGAAAGGCATTAAGAGAATCTTAAGTTCCAATATTCAAAACAGCCAGCATCAGAAAGCATTGCACAAAGTGCATCATATTCTTTCGTGATCCAGAAAACAATAGAAAAATTATGGAGCATCTAAATTCTCTAGTGAAAAATTGATGCTGATTTGTGTCAGTTATTAGGAAACACTGCTCATAATCTAGACAGGTTTTGCAGGAGACCTAGAAGGCTAAGGAAGCACCAGAAGTTGTAGCAGTATAGCATACAGCCATATCAGAGACAAAACATTGTTAATTCATGAAATTTTGCAAAAGGAGACACCAGGATTATCAATTTCAAGCAGTCTGAAAATCAGGCGGTTGCTTTGTCTCATATAAACATCCAGGAGCAAATATGGCAGCTGACACATTAGCCTTCTTTAGTACGTCAACTGCAACATTTGTCTGCTATCACAGTTACCATACTTCATTAAGAAGTAGCCATAGTAGGCCATGTAAGTTTAAACATGTAAATTTAACAAATATTAATAAACTATATCCACAACTTAGAGTACAGAAATGACAAAGTTAACAACTAAATGCCATCCTTTATCTACAAATGATCTCACAACATGCCTGGTTAGAAAAGGGAGTTTATATTTTATGATTTGAACATTCCTTCACCGCTCCTTTGTTTTTGGCACAAAAGGATCTGACCATTATGGATGAAAAGAAAGGAAGATTCAACAAGGAAAACTCCTCCAAATCACCATCCACTATATGTATTGCCATAGATCATATTAATTCACCCATGAGAGCTATGATATGATTTCCTGAAGAAACGAGAGCCAACTCCCATCAAATGTACAGCATATAAGGCTCAACTCAACCTAAATATAAGAGTCATATGTGACCAGAACTGGTACCATTCCTAGCAGGAAGCATCAAGAAATCTACAAGTCCACAATATCATTTTCGATTTAAGGACAGATATCCAATTGTTTCAATTGGAAGGAGGTGTGACCTAACTGATTGATCTTGTAGTTCCCCCAACCTAGGTGAATACGATCTACAATTGTGTTATGACATTGATCCTCCCAAAAGGCCCAGAATTATTCCATCCTCACGAGGCCACCTTTAAGGATTTATCCAGGTAATTTCTTGGTGCATGATGAGGACAGCCTGTGCGAGGAGGGATCATTTGGATGCTTAACAAACTCCCGGCACTTTAAAGGAACCAGGTTCTGCTGGAAAACTTTGTTCAAGGTCTCATGCAAGCTTAGTTTCGAGTTTTTACCATTTTCACCTGCTAGTAGCTACACTATCAAGAACCGATTATTTGCCTACTAGCCAGAATTAGGACCAGGACATCGTGTGCAACAAGAAGAACAAACTCCTTGAGAACTGAACTTGTCTATTTAGTTTTTGTATATACAATAAACTGTCCATGTCTTAAAGACTGAATCTCCAGTATTTGCTCCAAAAGTCTTGTTTTTAAGCAAAATAAATTCCCTTAGTTCTGCACATTAACAAGTGCATGTACAATGCATAATGCCCTTTCTTTTTCTTTTAGTGGATACTTGAGGCATTACGATTTACCACAACAATGCAGCAATAAAGCTGACAAGATTTGAGATAGCAAATAGTAAAATCAACACCAAAGAGCATTTAAAAAAAAATGAGGAGCTGCTAGAGAGGAAGACAACCCCCTCAAACACCCAAAAAAATAAACAAAGAAAGTGAACTAAAAGATCAAAATAAAGAGCATTCTGGTCCTGTTAAGTTTTAAGGAAATCCTCTAAAAGTCCCAGAAATAGACCATAATAAAATGGTCAAGAAAAATGCTCTCCCTACAACAGTTGGTTAAAAAAAAAGTTCTAAAAGATTCTAGAGTTCCACTCCCTATAACCCCAGACAAACAAACCCACTAAATGAATCAATAACAAAGCTTCCACCCCGCTAAAAGAATAGAAGATAGCCGTGATCCTTTAAATGAAATAAATCAGATTTTAACATTTTTCTTTGCTTTAAAAAAACAGTGAGATGATCACTGACTTTCACCTTTTAAACCAGATGTTAGTTCCAGAAACTGAACCAGAATATTCACAACCAAAGTATATGGGTGGATACCATGCTTGTTAACTAATGGCATATTCATTGCATTTGAAAAAAAAAAGAAAAAGAAAATGCATGTGCAATGAACAAAATAACTTCGTGGAATATCTTCGACACGGACTTAATCTGATCAAAATGATGAAACCGAAACCACATCATACAATAGAGCTTGTAATTAAGATTAACATATCTAAATGATTGGAATGATACCAACGTTCCATTGTCCACCACCAAAAGTTTTCCTTCCAAATACAGCCATTCCCATGTAGACATCAAACTTTCTATTTCCAGCCACAGCAGCTGAAAGATCTGGATAGTTACTCTGCTCAGAAAATGATTAAATTTGCACACATGAAGGAATGGAAAAACAAAATCACCTCTATATGGAAGAGAACAAGATAACCTTCCATGTGTAGTTTACAAATATGCCATCACATATGTCAAAGAAACGTTTATTATTTTCATTCAGTTGATCTTTCGACCAAATATATCCAGTGGTTATGACACTGTCATACCTGCATAGTTTGTAACAAGCAATACAAAAGAAAATTCAGGATAGACAGGTAGAATGTGGCACTTTTAATACTCACCATATGACCAAGATTCAGGCATCAAGGAATGCATTGTATGGGTTAGATGGCTCACGAATTCTTCAAGATTAGGAATTTGCTGCTTGTGCAAATTAACCTCCATATTAATCTGCAATGAGCAATTGCCACCGCAACTGAATACCCACAGCAAACAAAATAGAAAGAAAAACACACCCAAACTCAT